TTCTTTTTAATAAATCTTTTTTCTTTTTCTTTTTTTCTTAAATCATATAAGCGCATATCTATATAACTAATTTATAATATTTATGATAGCTTTCTAAATTTGTACAGATTTTGAAAATAATTTCTCCGACAGAGAGACAACCCGTAGCAAAAATTATGATTTACTATTCGTTGTTTTCGTTTTATAATTATCTTTCAAAAAAAAAAAATACATGTATTTATAGAAATGATCGAAACAATCGATTCTAATGGAAATTTGATTTATAGTTATATTATAATTATTATCAAATCGTAATTAACGAATATCTAGGTTTAAAATTTATCTGCAGGTAAGGATTACAAGTTAATGCATGTACTAAAAAACAAAGAAAAAAATACATAATAACTATAATAATAAAATAATTTCTAAATAATTATTATAAATATATATAGGTTGCTAAATACTTTTGAACGATAGTGTAATAACACATTGCACAAGTATCGACCTTTCTATCCATTGACTACAAGATATTATAAAGTAGATTTAATTGTTTCTATCTATGGAGAAACGTGATTTATTTCATTCCAGAAAGGCTATGTCTGTATTTCTTTTTATCTTTCCGCGAACTTACAAAATATTAGAAAACATTTAAGATTGATACTGATGAGATTGAGAATGATAATGATATATTATATATATTTCGTTATTTTTAAGATTCTCATTTAATTAACTTTCTTTTTCTTATTTTTCATATCAATTGTCTTATTTTTTCGAAATTAATATTAATTAATAATTATTTTAATTCTTATCAAACTTTCTCGACAGATGATTTATTCGAAAATAATTAATCAATGGTTATTGGTAAAATTCTAAACACGTTAAAAAATTTATAATAATTCAATTAAACCAATCCGTTCTTTACCAACATAATATCTCTCTCTCTCTCTCTCTCTCACAGTCAGATGTTTATTTAATAACTTATTTTAATATACATACATATATATAAACTCAATTATATCGATAAGATCGCCGAACATGGTCAAGCATTTGAAGTTGTTTTTATATTCAAATAAGAAGAAGAAGAAGAAAAAAAAATAGATTTGAAATAGGAATACAAAAGGTTCGAATATCTTCTATTATATTACCAATGAATAAACGTTGTTGAATTTCGTTTAAGAATACGAATCGGAATCGAATGAATAAGAACTTTATTTGTACAGAAAACGTTTCTCTCTCTCTCTCTTTATCCTTTTCTATGGCCTTTCCCAAGAGAACTAACAAAGGCAAATTACAGGTGACCGTCGATACTATAAAACGACAGGGGGGAGGGGGGCGGTATACACAGTAAGGAGTAATTTAGATGGTAGGAGAATCGAAATCGCTTCTAGATTCCATCGCTATCGGCTTTCTAAGTGCCTTTAATCCGTGTTCTCGGATCGCTAGTTCGGTGAGCCAACAAAAAAGTGAATGATGAACGACGGATGATGCCCCTTCGTCGCCTGTCCGACTAACAACCTGCCTTACCTACCTATCTGCCTGCCAACCTACCCACTGTCGTAGGAAAATACTCTTTGATTTTCTTGATTGCTCGGGGCTTTGATTTTACTTTCTTTTTTTTTTACTTTATTTTAGTTTTTTTTCTTTTAGATTAAAACGTGCGGGCGATTAACTTTTCTTTCCTTATCCGGCCTCCCTCGACTTCCCCCGTCGACTCCCCCCTCGCCACCCCCTACCCACGCCAATAAAGATTGATTAGAGGTTTTTCGTTTTAAATCGCGGTGTAACGGAGAAAAGAAGAAGTTTTTTATTCTACCCAACCAACCCCCCCCCCTCCTTTTCTTTTTGTTTTTTTTTTCTTTCGTATTGGAAGGGGGAATATAGAAAGTATTACGTTAAAATCGATGATAGTTATTTAATATTCTTATCCGGTATCACGTTCTTGGTATTTTCTTTTTTCTTTATCATTTTTCTTTCTCTCTGTGTGTTCTGTGTTCATTTTATTTCTTTTTTTTTTTTGGTTTGCGCGGTAGTAGTATTGTAATACATATTGGTACTACGCCTTTGCATGCGAAATAAGTTAATAACAGGAACGAATCGATAAATCTACCGATTTCCCTCGAGTAGTCAGTCGGTCACGTTTGATTTTTACGAAAGATGTCACAATGAGAAAGGTAGTAGTAGGAACGAGGAAGTTCTCTAATCTCACGTTTGTTTTTTACGAGTAACTTCACACGGTTAGAGGAATGGAGAAGGAACGAACGAAGTTTTCATGCACGCGAAGTTTCTTGTTGTAAATGTAATTCGTTTGAACTTTGAAGAAGAAGACGACTTCGTGGATTTCTTCATTTTATCCAATTACTTATTTTTCTTATCTTCTTCTTCTTCTTCTTCTTCTTTTTCTTCTCCTTTTTTTTATCTTTTTTTATGCAACAGTCACCGATCGGAAACTTCCGATAATTACTACTACTACTACTACTATTACTACTACTACGGATGTTATTTAAAATTTTTTTAACTTAATTAAGTCGAATTAAATTCAATAGAAAATGTAGTTGTTTCAAAATTTTTAATCCTGTAAAACTTTTTTAGTTTTCGTTCTACAATTAAGAAATTTATTTAACTAACAAACATATATTTTCGGATTGGAACTAACAATAAATTTATGTTTAATTAAAAACGAGGTAAAATAATGTTTTCTTTTTTTAGTTTTGAAATCGCATTGGAAGAGCAGCAGTACGTATTTACTGTAAAACAATTTTTTGTTTGTAATGAAGTAAAGATGAACACACATTTTCTTATTAAATAATTATTCTTATTAAAATCATAAGGAAGAGTACATTATATTATTCTAGATTTTTTTCTATAATTTCTTTTTTCTTGAATTAAATTGTAACAAATATATTTTGCCATTTATAACGGACTGTTATATAAGAATGCATGTGAAAATTCTCCCTTCATTTTCTTGGAAATGATTGAGTATTCTGTCTTATTACTTGCATAGTGTATGGTCCTGATGAACTAAATTAATGAAACAAAATTAATCATAAATTATGTGATATACCATTTAAAAAATAAAAGAAGAAAATAAATTTACATCACTATCAAAATAAATGATCCGTATATCGATTTATTTCCAATGTAAATAAAGTTTGAGAGAGCATTTTAACAATTTATTTTCCTATCAAATCGTCAATCGTTATTCCAGTTTTTGAAGTAACGGAAAACGAAAACGTTATTCCGTTGAGAATCGAATGTAGAATTGGGGGTGGAGGTTAGGGGGTTGAAGGGGGTTGAAAGGGGGCTGGGTCATCGTGCGTCAGAGTCGGAATTAGCGATGACAGGAAAAGCAAGATTTATGTTTCTCGAGAAGGGGCAATAAGAAGTTATTCCGTATATCTTTGGAGATTTATCGCGGGCCGGTCCTTTCTCGCGGTGGTTCTACGAACTTTCCGCGAGGTTGGAAACTTTTATCCTTGTCTGAATTCAAAGATTATAGCTATATATTACGAAGATAATCGCCAAGTCTCTTCATGTATTTTCTCAGTTATCACTATCATTTTATATTATTTCCGACATATTTTATATATATATATATATTTATTATGTCAGTGTTAAGTTAATTAGAAAATATTAATATTTTTATATAAAAAATATGAAAAATTATTCTTATCTTTTTCATATAGTTTTACATCATTTTTTTTTATTGTTTGATTCGTAATCATAATTTTTTATAACACTATGAAACTTTTAAGATAACGTAATCGTATATTATATAAAATAATTAAGTCTTATTTTATTTTTTTTTTTATAAAATATCTGCGATATCGTTGTTATGTATTACGTACTACTTGATTCCATTAACCATTTTTTTTCTAAAACTTTGGAAGGTACAAATTTTACATGTATAGTTTAAACATAAGTGTTATTTTATAAAGAAAGATTAGTTTTTGTTAAATATAAGTTTTATTTACAATTAATATGGTATAATTATTTTAATATATTATTCCAATAATCTTATATCACATACATATAATATAATGTAGTTTAAATAGAACGGTGTTTGAATTATAAATGATTAAATAAAATATTGAAATGGGAAATGCAATAGTTAGAGAATTTATTAAAATAACTCGAAATGATTTTTCTTTTGTTATAAATCATTAAAGTATAAATGATATCGACGAAGTGAACAATTACAAGAAAGATCAAAAGTCAGAATGTATGCTTAAACAACAAAAATAATAGAGATTAAAATGTATATGATGTTTATAATATTAATTCGATACTTATCGTAGTTAAATGTTAATAAATGATACAATATTAATTCGTGTTGGTTTGGCAAAATGATTTCTTGAATTGTTTATAAGGATCAAAATTTTCTCTTCATCCTCTTTCTCTTTTTTTTTCTATTCACAATATATCGAATTAATCTCGTTAATATGAAGAATACATTCCGAGATCTATTCAAAAAATTTAATTCGCATACATTGGATGTAACGTGTGCAAATTTGTTGAATTTTTACAAAATCCAAGAAATGACTTTGGGATCGTTTATTGTATATGACATCGTCTACACACATATGCAATTATTATAATAAACGAAATACCTTACTCACGTTCATAATAATTATGTTGTTGCATATCGAACCACTCATGGTATAATATAAACAAGTATTTGTTAATAATACCAAGTTAACAAGATTTAATTACCGAGTTAATTTCGTTTGGCTCGTTTAACAATAAACTCTCTTGTAACACGAAATACACTAGACCATATTATTCTACGTTTCGTGTTCTAACTTACGAATATTTAATACACTTTTCTATCATTTATTAACCTTCGTATATTGTTTAACAAAAATAATTATAATATATAATTGAATTTTCATTTTATTGCGATATCTGATAAAATATATGGAACCTTTTAATAAGGTTAAAGAAAGGAAGACGAAATAAATGAAAACTTAAGTTAAAATATATTGTTTGTAATTAACGAAAGGCTTCTTCGATTTTATTTTCAGTCACCCAATTATCGTACCAAGAAAGGACGTGAAAGCAAAAACACTAAGAAAGAAAGAAAGAAAGAAAGAAAGAAAAAGAAAGCGTCGGAAGAAGAGAGATAGGAGACAATTAAAAAGAGAACAAAAATAAAGAAGATATTTAAACACAAATGGCAGAAAACGAAGTACCTTTCTTACGTTCAATTAACAACCGACAAATATCATTTGTCAGATTTACCAACTGTACAAAACGTAATGTTGCACTTTATTGGATCGACTATGAAGGTCATGCCATCAAATATGGCTGTTTAAATCCTGCTTGCTACTTAGACATCGACACTTTCGTAACGCATCCTTGGATCTTCGTTGATGATGAGACGAAGGAAAGGTGAGAATACTTTCACGAATCGTCACAGTTGTTCATCTTTTATTAATGTGGTTTAACACCATTCGTTCGATTTTCACATTAGTATTTCTGAACGAAATTGAAAATAAAATTTCTTGACGAACTTAAGATAAAATTTTTATTATTATTATTAATAATAATAGTATTGTTACAATATTTGCGTTAACTCGAGAAACGTTGTCAATTTAAATTTTATTATTACTAAGAATGAATCGTTTGATATTATTTTCAGATTTGATTAAATTGTAGATACAAATCATGACACTGAATTAATTGTAAGTCAATAAATAGGGAATGAATTTTTTATTTTCTCTACCTAAGATACATTTGATAATATAATTAATTGTAATATAAATTAAAACGTTAAAATCAATCTTTTTTCATTTTTCAATTTAAGTCCATTGTCATAATTATTCTTACGATTTACGTGAGAAATTTGTTCATGTTTTTTTTTATATGAAAATAAATTGTTAAGTTTTCGTTGATGAATTTACTTAATAAGATAATCGATGATGACGAATGAGGAATTTGAAAGGTTAACGAGTATTTACGGTTAATCCGTTTATGTAGTTTTCGATAATTAGATGCTATTATGAAAGAATATTCATTAATGTTAATTTGTGTTTGGATTATTAAAGAATATAAAAAATTTATGTAATATTGTGGCTATAAATTATTCTATTTATGATTATAAATTCTTTATGGTGAGGATTTACTCTCTATTCGGTCAAGTTTCCTTTTTTCATCTGTTATACGTTGTTTTTATTCTTCAATAAATTATCCTTATGCGATACTTATATTTGTATGTAGTAAAAAAAAAATTGGAGCACATTTAATAAAAGCAATCAAGAAACAACATATTTTTTAAATTCAACTATTGATAGAAAAACATTATTTCATATTTTCTTTTTTATTATTTAAAGTATATAATATCATTTTTAATGAATTATTTATTATTTTATGATAATAATATGTGAACGCGTAATAAATGTATTCCTATTTAAAATGAGAATCAAATTTTTTTTCTTTATTTTTGAAATTAAAATAATTCTATCGATTAATTACTGTTGAATTTTCGTTTGTCAAATATATTCGTATGAGAGTGCAATTAAATCATGGAAACAAGATAGAAAAGGGAATTTAACGAAACGTATATACATATACATACGCCGAATTTTTTATTATCTTATTCGTGTTCCATTTTCACTACATACAATCATATAATAACATCTCTTTGTAGGATAATTATGAAAAGGATTATATATGTACCGGTAATAATGACTGTAGATTAAATCATAAAATGAAATTAATTAATATGATTTACTTTATTTTCTATATTATAATTAATAATATTATCAAATAAATAAAAAAAAATTAATTTTTTCGAACTTTATCTAATGTCTTAATTAATTATCGGTATATTATATCTTTTATAGGATGATAAAGGTAAACTTCATCATAAAGAATAATTAATTTAAAAAATGTGGATGTATAAAATTTGATTTACAAAAGAGTATTTCTTTTAAAGGATTTCAACGAGTCACGAATTGAATAATAGCATGATAAAACAACAATAAATCATTTTCATATATTCTGTACAATAATTTACCAGAAATATTATATATACATATATATATAAAAGGAAAAAAAATAAGAACAAAGCAGGTGTTTAACTGTTGTCTTTTGGATTATTTAGGAAAAAAGCAAACGTTTTTCAGATATTTGGTGAACCAGAAAGATGTATTTTATCCTGAGCCGTGGTTGGAAAAATGTTTGAATGGTAGAGAGCCGTATTGTCCACATAGAATCAACCGAACACAAGCCCTTATAATGGTACCGATGTACACGTTACTTGAATTATCTTCAAGAGTAATCACAAGACGTCTTAATTACAAAGAACAAGTTCTTAAACTCAACATACCGAGGTGTCTTCAATATAAGCTTGCTTCAATGCTGCCCGACAAAAGTAACATCGAAGAGGATTCGTAATATTTTTTTGGATATCACGATGATGGAACACCATAACTACTGCGTCTCGATGGTACATCTACTTTCAATCAACCATTCTAGATAAGTTCATTTTTTAGTATTTCAAAAACGCATGGTTACATTACTTTTTCCTATAATTATCTTCGATTTAACGATATTGTGTGTTCATTTGGATTTTTTTTATTATTTGTAAAAGAATACATATCTTAAAAATTTTTAATATTTTCTTCTTTTTCTTTATAAGTAACAATTATTGTTATTATATATTTCTCATATAGATTTTTATCTATTATTATGATTTTTATTTTTCTTATAGTTTATAGCAAGAGGACTCTGAATTTTTAACATTGCATTGATATTATGCAAAGCCGAACTGAGTTTCAAAATTTTTTTCTGCTACGTCTCATTTTGAAGCGGAATGTGAAACATGAAAAATTGAAAAAGTGAAGAAGGGCCACCCTATTCGAGGAAATATGTAAAGCAAATGCTTATCGTGATACAAGGCAGAAAAGAATTTTATAGCCAAATGTATTATCATTTTTTTCCCTTTTCTTTTTTCCTCTTTTACATTATTATAGATATAAGATTTTCAAGCCTTTCATTGAACTATCAACCTATGGTATATATTATGATGATAATAAATGATGATACGATGATATCGTTATATCGATATATATATATATATGTGACTGATATCGATCAAATCGCGCGCGTTACCTATTTGTTATTTATAAGTTACTAATTTTTAATATCGTTAAATGTCAATTTCTTTTATTTTGAGATTACTATTTGTATATGTGTATATATATATACACTATTTACTAGATATTTGATGACTATTAATAGATAATTTGAAAGCAGTGGTCTTCAAATATTTTCGATTAACGGGACCCCCTTATGAGTGCAAAAATATTATATAGAATATTATATTATATTATTATAGTTACATATATTATTATAAATATATAATAATATAATAATATTATATTTTTAAAGAATTTTTTCTCGTAACAAAAAAAAATGATATATTAACAAAATATATATATATAAATTTTAAAAATTTTAAGGTACGTTTGCAAATATAATTTTCATTTGAATTATAATTATAATATATATGTTGAATATTTTGGAAAAGTTGCATGACACCCTAAAGGTTCTATCTAACACAGTTTGAAAACCACTGTTCCTAAGGCATTGAATATAACTTACATTAAATATACATTTCATACTAATATATTTTTATTACAATAAATAATAACTACTATAACATTGTTGTGCATAAAAATAAAAAAATAATGATTTTAAAATCGATTCTAACAAAAATTACAAGATCAATCTAGAAATTATCAAATAAATTGGATTTATTCGTGAACATCATATTTCGCGTGATAAAGTGATCGTATTTTAAAAAAAATGTATTAACTCCATTAACAGCTCGTGTCGTATCCGCAGTTTTTAGATAATTTCGCTAAGTGGACAACGATTCTTTGATTAATATTTCAAACAGAACGTAAATTATCAAATTGAATATTAATATTAATTTGTCCGATATTTCTAGCTAAAGTTCTTTGAACAAAATAATTTCGATTGAAAATTGTATTTTGAAATTTCATTAAAAAAGCGTTTATCGCGTTCATTTCAAATGCATGCAACGGAATAATTAATTACAAAGAGTCTAATGAGAATTTGAAAACTAATTCGACCTCGTTAAAACGCGTAAGAAATAATCATTCTTACAATTAATTTAAGTCACATTAATGAGTTCTAATAGATTCTTCTTTCGTTATTTAATGTTAACTTTACTCAAGTTTCATTGTGTTCTCAAATCTTTCGGTAATTAAGTAATCGTCTTAATCATTACGAAAATTCGAAGCGAGTTCAAAGTTTAAAGATCTTCCGAAAGATATGAAATTTTATTAAGATGATAATTCAACTTCGTTATCGCTATTCGTAAATGTGAAATTACGAAATTATTAAGCTTACCCTTTTTTTTTCTTTTTTTTTTATACGAACTTTCTATGAGACAACAAATAGAATACTTAAATATATCTCTTAAAAAGTCATTAATTAAATTGATTGAAAAATAGCAATTTGCATTTATGTTGCGTATAATCAAAATGGGAATACTGGGTATATTGGATAGTAGATTTATTTTTTTATTTGTTAAATATTATTATGTAGGTCAAATTATGCGAAAAAAGCTATCAACTACCACAACCATTTAAAATTGAGTAAATAAATAAAATAGACGCAGAGTAATTGTTATTTCTGTTGGGTGTAATTTATTTTTGTGCGATTTTTTAATAGCTCATTTAATATATATCGGGTGATATAATTAATATTATTTTTAATTTTTTATAGTTCTTACAAAATAAAGATCATCAAACTTGTTACATTTAATTTTTGGTATTTTGAAGATTGGTAGGTTTTTACATAATTTGGCCTAAATCACGTTGATTTATATTTCATATGCTTTATATATATAGAGCATATGTATATAAATTTATTTTTCAATTCGTTTATATTACGTAATAATATGTTAATTATTATTTGTTTATTACTGATTTGTACACTGATTTGAAATGTTTTTTTATTTATGTTCAGAAATTTGTACACATATGTTGTGTAAGTTTTTACAGTTTCAGTTTTGGCAAAAAAGAAATAAATGTTTCCTTATCATCTTGGAATTATAATAAAAAAATATTTCTTTTTAAAAAAAAAAATGTATAAGAAATGAATATTATTGTATCTTACAAAATGATAATTATACGTTTCATTTGTATTTATTTGTTCATGTTATTATCTCAATATTTTATTTTAATATTGTGTTATATTTTAAAATTATATTATCCGTATCTTAGAATTATTTTAATATTTAAAAAATGATGTCATTACAATGAAAAGTGCATTATAAATGTTGTTCATAAAGTATTTTTTTGAAAATAAACTAAAATAAATATCATAAAATGAGCTTTTTAACACAAACTATTGATTTAGCTAACAAAGAGTGTTTTACATTGCGAGTTCTCCTTATTATCGTAAAAAATAGATAAAGGTCAATCCTTCGAAAGATATCGAAGTTTACACAAAACGAGTGATTCTTCTATATTTACATTTAACCTTTTTACGTTATCAACATAAAGTGATATATTGGACACTCACAATTTACACTACTCTATCTTTTCTACGATATTTCAACCATAAGTCATTTGTAATCTTAAACAGAGTATAGCCAATGCTCAACAAAAATGTATCCTTTATCCGTATGATTCTTTATGTATTTTAAATCATTGGAAAATATATTTTAGAGCCAGGCAATATACGATTATTCGTATTTCGAAATTAAATATTGAATCGTACCTTCACACAATCGATAAGTTTTAAATTGGATAGTAAACTTTATTTTATCTTATATACATTACATATCTCATTTGTTCTTTATCTTATTACATGTGTGCCATACGTAAAAATAACAAAAAAACAAACAAAAACAAAAATAATACGTGTGCTTAAAAGTGGAAAACTTATTCTGAAAGTAATTTTTCACAATACACTTGAACGAACGAGGTAAGCCTCTTCATTTGGATAAAAAAAAAAACAAAAGAAATTCATTTCCATTGAATTGGTAAGTCCTTCATTGTTATCGTGCAGCAGGATCAGGAGGGGTAATTATTTGACTTGCAAACAAATGCAAAAATTGCATATATATCTCTTTTACATTTTCTACCCCTCATTGGATTTTTAATGTGTACTTTTAATACATCACCGACATGAGAAGATGTATATGTACGTATGTATGCTAATGACCAGAAGGTATATCTCTTTTTCATCTAGTAAGACCGAGTGCATTAAACAGATTAGATTATAAGTTTAACGCGTGCTAATCTGAAATGTCGGTTCTTGTAAATTCCATGCAGTCAGGTAAAAGATCAAAAGTAATGAAAAATACCTAGTAATGTTATTACGAAATGAGAAGATACGAACTAAGTATTATAGAAATTATACCATAATTGGTAAAGATATAATTCGTTAAAAAAAAATATTAGGCTTCAAATGTATATATTCATTAATATCTTATAATAAATCATAATCATTTATAAAAATAATTCACCATTATGAGAATAAAATTTTGATAAATTTTGTAATATTATATTGTAAATTAAATATATAATTATCTAAAATACAATTTGTATTAAAACATATAAACAGTAAAAAAGAAAACAAAACAAAACACTAAGTACATTAAGATAAAAGAAAAATGAACTCTCTTCTTTAGTCCCCCAATTTTGTTTCGTTAAATTGAACCCATAGGAATAGTGTATCTCTATGTTTTCTATCCAGTTGTCCAATCTTTGTCGTAAATAAATCTCTACTCCATTTTCTTTTTTTTTCTCACGTGATGTGATTTTCTCGGATGATATAACTTAACTATAACGTTACATTTTATATCTTATTCGGTATAAGATGAACTTTGTTCGTGTAGGCGACACGCTTGACTATCAAGATTTCGATTTGTTACTCCTATCGTAACGGTCTCCAACAATCCTTTAGTAGAACGTAATTCGTTCTAATCGTTATTGCGTGACTTCTGCCATCTTCCATAATCTGCTATATAAATTTTACATTATGAAAAAAAAAAAAACGTCATCTTTTTATACGATAACGATAAATATGAAAAGACGAGTAAATAAGTTATGTGAATTGTTTTATAATTGTACAGTTTTACATATATATATACATAATATTATATAATAATAATAATATATGTTATAATTATACGCATAAAATAAACAACAATTAATAAGAGATGAAAAAAATATAAGTCAATTTTTGACAAAGTTAGAGAGGTTTTCATTGGGGTAGAAAATGATAAAAAAGTTTCAGTCAAATCGAAAGGGATCGGGGTCAAAAGTGATCGATTTGACGTGGAATGCACCGTATATATATATATATATATATGGATATCCTATTTATATATTTGTTTATTTCTCATAGATACATCAAGGATTAATATGACCCGATACTGACCGTAACTCATTGAGACAGGTCAGT